CGCGGAACAATCTGTTGCGTCTACAGACAATAAATCTAATAATTGTGTTGTTACTTTTTTAGTCAATGGTGAAACATATTGCACAAAAACACACATAAGCTTTTTATCTGAAATATCTGTACTTTCATCTATTAGAATTGAAAATTTACATTTTTGTAGATTTATTATAATTTTTTCAATCTCGCGTTTTGCAATTACTTGTGTAATAACTTTAGTACATTTATCTCGTGCCAGTGAAAGATCTGATACAACTTCAGGGATCATGCAGATATCTTTCAATAATGGAATTAAATGATTTGCGGAATAAAGTGCAATATTATGTTCAGCAAAAAATGCTGCTAATTTGATCTCGGCGCGTTTTACTTTATCTTTATGTGAAAGACTATTATTATTGCCCAAAACATTAATGTTTAAATTTTTAAAATTTATTTGTTCAATATGTTGATCCGATTGAGAATGTTCAATTAAATTTGATTTACAACATCTGATGGTTTTATTGCATACAGTACACAATGCTTTATCTAGTGTAGGATGTGGAGCTAACCATCCTTTAAAAACATTCTCATGTAGCCATGATAATTAAAATTTTCTATTTCTTGGTTTTTTAGCTACTGGCTCCGTAAATTCCATGCTAGTAAATATATAAATTTTACCTTATTTGTAATCACCTAACCTCCTCACGTCAAAACGTCCCGCCATACGGTTAACACACAACATATAACGGCACTGGATCTCCATCACCGCGCATGCGCAGAGCCGCACATGCGCGTACAACCGGTCCCATATCGCAACACTGATGATACATGCTTTGAAACGGAACGATATTGAACGCATTAGAAGCGGAAAATCAAAATGGATTCCACAATAAATTGCGCTATCAATGTGACAATGTTTTTAATTGATGAAATGAGTGACAGTAATAGTAGTGAATCATCAATGACTCTTCCATTATGACTCTTTCTATTTTGACACTTTTTACAATATCGCTATCAATCGCCATATGCAATTACGCAATCGCATGGAACGCATAAGCTGCTGCAACTCAAACTTGAGGTAGCTGATGCGTGTATTATGCGCTGCAGGTGGTGGGGATCTAGGGAATTCTAAGCGCTGTTCATACGCGCATTGAGTGAAACGGAACGTTTTCTATGTAATTCGTGCGCATAATGTGCGAAACGGAACGCAACCTTAGTCTATAGTATACCCTAAGGGTACCGTCACATACAATCCGTAATCCGCACCGGAAGTCTGCAAAAGTTACTAGGTATTTCGT